GTTCCGCTATCGGGACGGAACCAATGATGGCGAGCCGTTATTTTTTTAAATAAAAAAAAATTTGTCTGTCGATATGCTATATCCAGAACTCCTAAAGTGGAAAAGATTGAGTATCACCTGGCTTCATTTCGTAAGATTTCCCTAAGGCATCATTAGCACAGTGGGTATCACTGCTGCCTTGCAGCAAGAAGGTGAACTCCAAGGCATCCGGCTTCCTCCCACAGTCCGAAACCATGACTGTTAGATTAACCCTTTAAAGCCTTGACCATAAAGTAATTGACACTTTATTAGAATTGTCATTGAACTTTCTGACAAATGACATCAAAAAAGAAAGTTAAATTAGTTCATTGATATGCATCAAATTTGATACATAAGGCATTTCTCTTTAATCTTTTAAACGTTTTCTGTTCCCTACATGCGACTTGTTGTGTAAGTCAGGGTTTTTAAGAATAAAAATATAACACTGATGATGTAGAGGTCTCAAAAACCTATGGATCAAATATGATACAATTGGCTTTAAAGGGTTAATTGGCTTCCTATAAATGTTCCTTAGGTGAGTGTGAATGGTTGTTTGTCCTGTGATGGACTGGTGACCTGTCCAGGGCGTACCCCGCCTCTCGCCCGTTGACAGGCCACTCGCGACCCCGCTTTGGATAAGCGTGACGGAAAATGGATGGATGGAAACATTGGATATCTGATTATTAATCGATTCATGGAAAAGAATAATCAACAGATGGATTTGCTAAATCATCGTTAGTTGTAGCCCTAATCCCAGAGAACGTAGCTGGATCTAAGTATAAAATGTTTAGTGTTTAATAATGTTAAACCTTCTTTTTTTTTTGTATTTTTTTCACGTTCAGAACTATTTTCATCCTTTATCCATCATGTATTCAGTGTAGCCTCCTCACACCGCCTGTCTCCCCGCTCAGGTGTATCAGGGGGTGAAGAAGCACGGCTTTATCCAGCCTCGTATGCTCGCTGAGCAAGACGTGGTCATCACCACCTACGACGTGCTTCGCTCTGAGCTCAACTACGTCGACATTCCTCACAGCAATAGCAAAGACGGCCGGCGCTTCCGAAACCAGAAGCGCTACATGGCGGTTCCCAGCCCCCTGGTGGCCGTGGAGTGGTGGCGCATCTGTCTGGACGAAGCCCAGATGGTTGAGTGTCCCACAGCGAAGGTGAAACGGAATCCATTGTCAGGTTTTTTGTTTTTTTTCTTATTTTTTCTTTCCTCCGTTGTTTATATTTATCTTCTCACCAACAGGCTGCAGAAATGGCTCTGCGTCTTGCCTCCGTCAACCGATGGTGCGTCAGCGGCACTCCTGTCCAAAGAGGCTTAGAAGGTGAAAAAAAAAACTGTCCATGGATCAACTGTTAACCTGCTAGAGGCTCCATGCTGAAGCGATCTGTGTTTTGTAGATCTGTACGGCCTCATGCTTTTCCTGGGCGTGGATCCATACTGGGTTAAACACTGGTGGGACCAGCTGCTTTATCGCCCTTATCGCCGTGGAAACACAGAACCTCTGTACAATGTTATCGCTCAGATATTATGGCGGTCAGCTAAAAAAGACGTCATCGACCAGGTGGGCTTTGAGAAGAATTTCACGGAAAACAAATCATTCTTTAAAGGATAAAGAATCTCTTTATGTTTTTTTTTTCGTTCTTTAGATTCAGATTCCCCCTCAGACAGAGGAGGTTCACTGGCTTCACTTCTCCCCAGTCGAGGGTCATTTTTACCACCGCCAGCATGAGGTCTGTTCCCAGGATGCTTTGGTGAAACTCAGGAAAATCTCTGACTGGAGCCTGAAACTGGGCAGCCTGGACCGCCGCACCGTCAACACCATCCTGTACCCGCTGCTGAGGCTGCGTCAGGCCTGCTGCCATCCGCAGGCCGTCAGGGGGGAGTTCCTGCCTCTGCAGAAGAGGTAAATGAGAGAAGTTTTCTTTTGCTTCCGTGGCACCTGCTAATTACTAGCCTTTCTAGGCTAAGTAAAGTTAACCAGGCGGGTAATAAACCCTTTTTTTTTATTCTAATGCGTTTAATTGTGTTTATCTTAAGCTATGTAATTTCCACTGGTAGGTTAAGGCATGTTTCTTCTCTTTCAGCACCATGACAATGGAGGAACTCCTCAAGTCTTTGCAGAAAAAATGTCGAGTGGAGTGTGAAGAAGGTCACAGGCAGTTGGTGTGTGCACTCAATGGTTTGGCTGGAATTCACATCATCAGAGGTATTAAAGCCCTTCTTCTCGGCTGCTGCACTGTTTCCCATGGGAATAAGTCCAAAACACAGAACCTGATCTCATCTTTGTTTCCTGGTACTTTGTGCGCTGATATGTTGTGTTAAAGTCCCTCTTAGCTGGTTCTACACACAGGTTATCCCTATAGTCTCACCTCATTAACGCTGCTTGTTCTGTCGCCTGCAGGCGAGTTTGTAGAGGCCGTGGAGATGTATAGAGAGGTTCTGCGTTCATCAGAGGAGCACAAAGACAGGCTGAAAACCGATTCATTACAGGTACATTCAGGCCCATTTATCTTTTAAACTTTTGTTTTCAAAAGAATGTTTAAGTGCATTAAATGACACTGAAGCCAAAATGACGTTTCTAAGTAGGAGATGTAATAACATTGAAAGTCAAAGCAATTGTATTTGAATAGCATCATTAATGCCCAATTAATCTTCAGTGTTCATGGTAAAGTAATTTAAATTTAGTTTTATTGGTTGAATATAGGGCTGCAACTAACGATTATTTTAAAAATCGATGAATCGGCCGATT